CCTTTCATCTGACTTCACTAGTTCTTGCATTAATCCATGATGAGACACAAGCCTAGAACCCACTGATCTCAGCTGAGGTTTTGGCTTCAAGGTATTAACAGAAAATGCTATCAAGAACCCTCGAGATCAATGTTTTGTGGAAAAAGTTCCCTAAACTAATCTAGGAAAGGAGCATAGTGTAATCTTTCTTTGAGGTTGAAAGAAGAAAGTGCTAATTTCATGCAGAAAAGATTGTATCTTGGGCTGGCATAGGAATAGAAAATAAATTGGTATTAAATTACATTCGTCTGCCTCAAAATAATCTAATAAAGCATCTTCTGGATCAATAGCAGAATCGTTATCCAAGGCACATAGCAACTTTTCCCTCTTTTAATTTGAGATGCAAGGAAGAGGTTTTTGCATTACCATAAGAAAAATAATAATACTTTAAGTCTTCATAGGAAAAAGGCAGAAGTAGAAAAAAAAAAGAGATGAGAATCACACTTTATGCCTTAAGCAAGTGTCATTTTTCATCTGAAACTTGGAATTTAGGGATGCTGTGAAATAAATTTTTACATTTAATGACTGTCAATCTGTCAGTTTAGCTGAGCTGTTGGACAAAAACACCCCAGCAACGCAGTTACTGAAAGGACTTGGTGTGCAGGAAGGGAGGGAAGGGCAAGACAAGGCTTTCAACAACTTTGTTCTCCTAATTAAGGCTCACTAGGGAAAAAAAAAGAGAAAAAACGTTGGCACAGTTATCCACTGAAAATGCAGTTTCATCAGAAGAGAATGAGATGTGCCAGTGTTGGCTGCAGTGTGCACAGCCCCAAACAAGGCTAGGGAGAAACTGCAACTGTGTGCAGACCATGGCCAATAAAGCAGGAATCACAGTGGGGTGTAATCAGCCTTTCAAACACTGCAAAAACCCCTCAGTTCATTAAACCATATGGTAAATATAGAGGCAATATGGTCTTAGGAGTTGGGATAGGCAAAAGCAGCCTAAAGAGTGTATGTCTTAGTGTTTAAAGCAGTGAGGCTTGAAGTGGGAAGTGAAGAGTCACCTCAGAAATGCTATTAAAAACATGATGAGGTTATCCCTGAGGACAGGAGGAGTTGGTGGGCACTACCAGGCTGGGGCACTCTTCAAACTTCTATCTTCAAAGAGCAGATATTTTCTTTCCTGGAATCAAGTTCCCTGTAATATATTCATTAATGCAGCATGTGGAACAGGGAGTACAATATATGTCCGAGGCACCAAGCTGGGAAGAGATACAAACAGTACAGAGGGCTGAATCACAATTCCAAATGATCTTGATAAGTGGGAGAAATGATCTGAAACCAATAGCAGGAGACTCCCTGCAGGGTAGTGTAATGCTGAACTGAGAAAGGTGAAATCAAATACACAAACTCCAAGCAATCCATAACCAGCACTGCAGAAATTGGGAAAATGAGGGTTGACTCCCCCACACTCAGCAAATGTTTTGGTAAGGTGGATGTAAGGCCAGGTTGGGTGAGGCTTGGAGCAACCTGGACTAGTGGAAGGTGTCCCTGCCCATGGCAGGGGGTGGAATGGGATGAGCTTGAAGGTCTCTTTCCACCCAAACCAGTCTGGGATTCAAGCCTCAGTGAGCCTGGAGATCCTCTCAAAGAAGAATTTTTCTGCTTGTGCTAATGGGTTGAGGTGTTGATGCCAAGATCAGTCCATGCACACACATCTAGCCAAAAAGAGGGTATGGTGTGTGTGCTACAGGTGATTATTGATGTTGCTTTCAAGTTTATTGTCCCCACAGGGTTTGCCTCAGGCATTTTTCTGTGGTGAGCTGACAGTGCTCTTTGGTAGCACTTGGGTTATGATATTCTCTGTCAGAATCTTTGCGTGGGTGAGAGAGGAGGAAACAAACCCAAAGCTTTTGATGAGGAGCATTTGCAAAAGAACCCAAAGCTCTGCATGGCCCTGTGTTGGGTTGGGTTTGGAGCTGGGCCTCTGGCTGGGATAGCAGCAGCATTTTTCTGGTTTTCTCAGTTACCTGGATGATGTTCCTGTGCCAGTTGCCAGTTTCCAGTGTAACAAGATCCCATGGGGGTAAGCAGCTTTGGAGTCAGTCCTGTTGCCTGTGCAGCCACGTGGTGTGATGAACACACCACTCAGCAATGTCTGAGCAGCAGAGCTGCACAAATTCAGCCCTCCAAAAGAAGAATGTCATTTCCTCCAGGAAGTGTAACCAGCCACTGCAAGAAGCTGCTTTTTTTCTCCTTTTTTAATCCGTTCACTAAGACTAACAGTTATCAAGAGACTGGATTTGCTCTGTTCTGACCCTCCATGGATCCTCTAGCTTTTGGTGAGCTCTGAAACCACAATTCCCAGGCTAAGGAGTCTTCTTTCCTCTGTGTTTCTCAGCATTGTCTCTTTTTCAAACAACTTCTCCAGCACATGAAGCTGCTCTGGAGGGTCTGTCTGACTGTGTGCCTGAGCCTACTGCTTTTCTTCTGGAGCAGCTGGAGAGGAAATTCACTCCACATCAGCACAGCCTCATGTTTTGAGGAGGGCTACAATTCCTGCCCTGCATGTTAGTCCTGTTCCTCTGTGCTTTAACATGACTTTTTGCTAACTAGACCTGTTGTCAGCCTTGAGATCTTCCTTCACCTCTTCTGATGTCTCCAGCCCTGACATGGGTGTTTGGCTTTGACTAATACACTCATGGCAACTAATCTGATGCAACTGTGGGATTTGTACCTGGTAAGTCCTGCCTGGATGACTGGGGAGAAGAAGGAGGAGGAGGAGAGTCTGTTCCACTCTTTGGCTCTGCTCAGGGTCCAGCTGGAGCTGGCCCCCCATCCTGCCAAAGGTGAGAATAACTCCTGGGGGGAATCTCCTCTTGTGGCTGTGCCTTCAGTGGGGAAACACTTTTGAGGAACCACAGAGGGTTAAAACTACATTTCTGAAACCAGCCCAGGGGAAAAGTCACATGCACGAGGGAGATTTTGCAAGTTGGTGCTTGCAGCTCAGGGTAATGAGAGGGAGGCAGGAGCACAGGCTGAGTGCCTTGGCTGAGCTGTGCCTGGTTTGTCCATGATCCTGGGACACACAGGGAAGAAAGGGACTTTATCAAGGTTGTGGCTGCAGGACTGGAGACCTTTCCACTTGGTGGTGGGACAATGTGGCACCTGGGCAGTGCAGAGTGGGATGATGGCAGATAA